GTCGTCGCAGCCTCGTGTCGGGCCCACTTGTTGAGAGCTCCCTCTGCTGACTCTACTTTCCTGAGCATGATGCCCTTTCCAGGGAAGGGTCCCTCCTGGTCACGTGTCCAAAGTCTGGCCGTTCTCGCTTCCGAGGAGCATGCCGGCTGCACTTCCTCCAGGACACATCTGTTCGTTCCTCTGCCAGCCCACGGCGCTCTCAGCATTCTGCGCCAGCACCACAACTCAAGAGCATCAACCCTTCTTCAGTCTTCCTTACTCAGTGTCCAGCTCTCACGTGCACACGGGGTGATTGAAAATGCCATGGCTTATGTCAGACGCACCTTAGTCTTCAAAGCAATGTCTCTGTTCCTTAGCACCTCATAGCATCATGGATTCAGTTAACGTGCCTCACCTGCTCCTGTGAAGAGGGTAGGAATGGCACACGTTTCGTTACTCGCACCTTTAGAAGAAAAGAAGGGCCGTGGGCAGAGAGCGGGCACGACTGCCGCCTTCGCAGAGGAGGCCCTGACCACAAATCCCTGACTGCTCGATCTGCGGGTGCCCATGTCCTGCGTGGGCGAGACGGCGGCTGCCCCTCGGGGCTCTGGCAGAGCTGGCTGCTTCCCGAGCCCTGTGATCTCCTGACTCAGATGCAGCGGAGGGAAGGGACCCCCGCCCAGAAGTCAGCTGCGTTGCATCTCAGAGGGGCTGCTGGGCAGAGCCCACTGCCGCGCTGGCACCTCTCAGTGTGGCAGGCGCCTGCGCTGAGCGGCTTCCTGTGATGTTTGGGTGTCACTGGCTCCCGGCCACCCCAGATCCTTTGATTCCTTGTGGGTCCTGTCAGTGGGGCCGGGAGGTGCCTGTGGGGTTAGTTGTCATGGGATGAGCTCCCTGTCCTGCGACCTCACGTCCAACAGGACGGAACGCCGGTCCTCACCATCCTCACGGCGCCAGTCGGCTCCGGGCCGTGGTTGCGGCCGCTGCAGTGCTCTGCCAGGCACTGCTCTGTTGAGAGCCCCGGGGTCCTCACTGGCTGGTTTTCAGCAGTAGACCACCAGGTCTTTCTGCCCGGTCTGTCGCGGTCTGGAAGCTCTCCCGGAAGCTGTCCACCTTGGGTGACCCTGCTGGTGTTTGAAATACCGGTGCCATGGCCTCGGGTCTCATGCAGCATCTTTGGCACGTGCCCTTCCTCCTGTTTGGGGTCGATGCTGTCATTTGGGGTCAATGCTCAGATCTGGGGTCAGCACCCTTGTCTGGGATCAGTGCTCTCGTCTGGGGTGGGTGCCCTCGTCTGGGGTTGGCATCTTTGTCTGGGGTGGGCGCCCTCATCTGTGGTTGGCGCCTTCGTCTGGGATGGGTGCCCTCGTCTGGGGCTGGCATCTTTGTCTGGGGTCAGCACCCTCGTCTGGGGTTGGCATCTTTGTCTGGAGTGGGCGCCCTCGTCTGGGGTCAATGCTGTTGTCAGGGATGGACGTCCTTGTCTGGGGTCAATGGGTCTCTTTTAGGATCTGGAGTCCTGAGTTTGGGGGGCTCTTGGGAAGTCCAGTCTCCCTGTCCTGGGAGAGGGAGCGTGGCCCTCACCGAGGAGGTGGCTCCTGACTACGCGCTTGGCTTCCTGGCTTCTGGGAGCTGGGAGAGGAAGGGCTCCTGGAGATGGGCGTGTCCTGCTGCTGGCCCTTCCAACGGGCTCCTGCCTGCCCCCAGGGCCACTGAGGCCGCTGTTGCTGACTCCGGCAGCTGCTGGGGCTCGGGGCTGCTGGCCAGACACCCGGCCGGAGCCTGGCTTCCACGGCCCTGTCTCTACACAGACACCTGCCTGGGTCCCTGGCTCTGCCTGTCCTCCATGGGCCTTGGAGAACCCTCCCTCCAATCCCAGCTCCGCCACCCACTACCAGGGGGACGGTGGAACCTTCCGGCTCCACCTCCCCAGAGGGTGATGACAGTGGTTGGGGGTAGCACCCAGCATGTGGTGAGCGGTTAACAAAATAGAACAAACACCTGTTGCG